AAATTTACCCCACGCTCACTATTATAGAGAAATTGTGCTACATGTTACTAATTAACAGTACTACTTACTTTAATAAGAAATGTCACTAATATGATTTTGATTTCAATCTTTAACAACTGCCAGATTGTGACAGGACATGAAAATATACTGCATAGCAAGACTGACCCATATAAACTGCATATTCAGCTTTTTCCCTATTTCTTTCATTTAAAAAGAATAAATTAAAGACGATAAATAAAATAAAACATGATACGAAAAACCATCCCTCCTCTCTCTCTAAAGAGTAGAGCAGGCCTACATTACCAGAACGAGAGGGTGCAATCATTGACGAAGGTGTCGCTCTCCCGCACCAGAAATGTCCCGTCAACTCCACCTGAATCTGCACAATATTCCTGCAGCAGTCTCTCGGCTGTCTGTCTGCCCTCTGACATCCGCCCGTGAAACCAGGCCTCTGACTGATGAAGCTCTGTACCGCCCTGAGGTGACTGAGGAGAGGTGAATTACACAGTGAATACCTTTAATTTATGAGATTTTTTAAGTGAATCTCATTCTAAAATGGAGCCTCAGTAATTCACCTTTCCAACATCCTCCTCTAGTAGTAGTTCATTCTCCTCAGCAAAATACAATGTCTTATTCTCGATCACACAGTAGTGCTTGTTCCATCTCTGTACACGGACACAGTCGTACAGAAATTGCAATCATAATCAAGTAAGGCAACTGGAAAAAGATCAAACAATCACACAAGCCTGTGATAGTGTTCACTGGACTTTGGCACCTCATCGATTGGATCCCAGATGAAGAGCTCTCCCTGCTTATCTCCTTTCCGTAGGTCCTTTTTGCTAAAGGTCTCATCAATATTCAGTTTCTTGTGCTGTATGAAAAAGCGAGATTGCATGGCTTTGGATTGTATTGTAAAATCAAAGACATTGCAGGATTTTCCAATGAAGCTTCTCTACCTTGATGATGATCTTGCCCTTCAGTTGGGTTGGTGACGGCAATTGTTCTGCTTCTGGTTCCAGCGGCTCGGTCAGGAGCTTGTCTTGGAAAATATCTTTGAACACCTGAGCCATCATTTTTTGCTGCTTGACGTCACAGTGTTCTTCTATGGACAGCACCACAGGATACCTGCCAACAGTGACATGTTCATAAACATACTTCAAGAATACTGCACATTTCCAGATACACTGTGTGCAACATATTCTTAATGGTATTCTCATTAAATTATTTATTAAACCTGTAAAAAAAAAAAAAAATAGCATTAATTAAAGGAAGTACAACAAATATTACCCATACTATATAACACTTGACATTTAAAATAATATATCATTGTTCATTATTATTTATTCAAGCGGCAGTAGGGGTGTCGAAATTAATCGTTGCATCACGATGCAGACGTGGACGATTCTGCATAGATGTAACTAGAGGCGCTTGTCACGCGATTATTAAAAATGCACTCTCTATTTTAAAATCTGAGCTTAGCGTTTTCCCGCACATGGCACGTGTGACTTTCACGTGCGCTTTGTGCTTGTCCTGAAGCTCGCGGCTGCAGTTAAATGCACTTACATCTACTTTTATGATACGAAATTGATGTAAACATTCAGTTACGTTTTCAGAACAGGACAAAACATCTGATATGTCGAAATAGATCTGTGCATTAGTGTGAATGCAGCCTATTAAAACTGCCAATCAAATGGCAAAAAAAAGAAAAGAAAAAGAAAACCCCATTACTATGATTAGCCTATCTGTAAACTTTCGGATACGTAAAGCGCTCCCAGATAATGAAAGTGCTATTTGTTTAAGTGCCTTGTAATTGTATTTCCCACCTTTATTACTTTATATTTGCTTGTATGTTTTAAAAGCTATATTTAATTTTAATTCTTAACAATAATTAATCAATTATATATTAATTAATATCTTAATTAATGTAGTATTAATAATATTAATAATTAATTAATTAATTAACATAATTATTTTAAAAAGTAGCCTACTTATGTCATTTAATAAAAATGCACAAAATAAATTTGATATAATCATGATGCATCGTGATATCGAATTTAATTTAATTGTTGACATAATCATAATCTAATTGAATCGTGAAACCAGTGCCAATTCACACCCCTATGCAGCAGTAATAATGCAAAATAATAATACAAATAATGTCACAATGCAAATAAATATATATATA